TGTTTCAAAGGTTTCACCATGTTGTTACTGTAAATTTATTTGATAAACCGCAGTTATCTAAATCCGTTAAGTGGCGACTTGGAAGAGACAAATGCCAGCATCACTACAGACAAGCTGGATGTGATTAGAAGTTTACGACTTACCTTATAATCCACACTATTCACCTTGTTTTTTCAGCCGAAACAACGTTTTTCTCTCACAACAATTCAGCCAGAACAGTGTTTTTCAGCCAATTCAGCCAAGTTTCAGCAAGCCGAACAGGGCCTTTGTTTGTTCGAGACAAAATATCCATTAGAGTATACGCTAACAGCTTGTGTTTAGCTAGTATCTCAATGCAGAATAATCCTCGATACAATGGATGCTATGTTTAATATCTTGAACAGGTTTCAACAATGACGACTAACATCCAAATTCATCCTCTGATTCACCAAGGCCAAGTAAACTACTCAAAATTTGCAAGCAAAAGGAGAGCTGTCTTTTGTGTGTTTTAACAAGGCTACAAGGGAAGCACAGAAGGATTTGTGCTCTGCAGAGCCTATGGATCCGTTAACCTAGAGACAAAGAGTCCATGGATCCAGATAATTCTAACTTAAGGTCATGTTTCATCTGCCTGCCCAATCTTACTAGTTCCTTTAATTAATACACTTGCGCAAGTAAGACAAAATTTAGCTTGCCAGTGTGGCAAAGCCAACCTCCAAAACAACCAAGTGCTTACTCACCTTGTGAAAAGTAAAGCTAATTGGAAAGAGAAGTATAGAAACATACATAGAAGTAGTACAGTACATGATGTATGTAGTTTTGTTAGGCAAAGTTACCATATAAAGATCCAAACGTGGCCCAAATCTCGCATACGTGTCGAAAACCGCACCATGGAATAATATATAATATATAATATAGAAGAGCATATCTGCATATACCGTATTTTTCTACTAAATGCCGGTGACGCACAACGTTAGATGTCGCTTTGCCGTCTTCCAAAAGCTAGATCGATGTCGCTGTTAAGTGCCGGTGATGGTGATCTTTTGATATTTTTTTTCCATTCCAGTTGTAGTGTCCAACTAGACAACCATCTTTGGCACTTGAGGATAAGATAAACAAGCAGGAATGCTCCCAATAAGATAGCTTGAAATGATCGACACATATGGTAGCCCCTACATTCAGAAATTCAGAAGTTCAGATGATGCATGGTTGCAGGAGGAGATATATATAATCCTCCTTGACCGGCCGGAAACGCATGATCGACTTCAAGGTCTCGCACATATCCCGTATGAAAACGAAAGAATCATGTGAGAAGGGCGCCCAAAGGCTGTTCTACCTATCTACAGTACTTAAAAAAACACTCACTAGGTCCAGCGATTGCTAATTACTCCAACACCTGAATCAGACACCAGCACCCGTTACGTTAAAAAAAAAGAAGAAAAAAAAGATACCAGCACCCATGATCCATGTCACATTTAGGCGTGTAGCTGTAGTGGCCATGTTGCAAATCAAAGTTCAGAGGTGTTTTCTTTCTTCTTGATAATAATCTATCTAAGAAGAAACTATTCTCTTATTCCAAAAATAAATCAATTTCTAGAGTTTCTATCTTAAACTATTTGAAAACTAGAGACATCATCAAATATAGGCTCCGTTCGCGTGTCCTTAAATCCGGCTTGATCCGCTTCTTTTTTCATCCGGAATAATGTTTTTCTCTCACAAATTCCTCTAGATTCATTCAAATTCATCCAGATTCCTCCAAATAATGTTTTTCTCTCACAAATTCCTCTAGATTCATTCAAATTCATCCAGATTCCTCCAAGCGAACGGGACCATATTTCCATAGATATTTTTTTTATAACAAGCTTAATATGTTTTTTTTTGACTTAGAGTGACTGTAGGGATTGATTATTTTGGGATATAAGTAATACTATTAGAAAAGAAAAATATATATACTCCCTCCATTCCACTTTTTAGGGACGGTGGGGGCTACTAGCTAGTAGGGAATGCTTGTTCTTCTTGTCAAGAATCTTATCTTCCCACTACAGACAAAAAGAAACCAGTGATACAAAGCTTGTAAAATTTCTCCATCCAACCAACATTTTTTTAAAAGAACAAATACAAGGTCAATTAGCGTAGGCTAGCGCATCATAAACAAATTGCCTCATCTGCAACAAATCTCCTGTATCTCCCAGGAGAGCAACCCAGCATAGAGAATTCATCAGATAAACACAAAAACTAGCTCCGTGCCCAGTCTTCACATAAAACATTGAAAATGAAACATAATCCTAAAAAAGTCAGGCTGGCGTCGATCGAATCCATGACCAAGACTGGCCCTTCAATTTGAAAGCAAATACATCATTTTATAATTAGCATTAGCACGGAGATTACTAGCCAAAACACCTGCAAGCTCCAAGAATGTGACCTAAAACTTGTCTAGAATAGTATGCACAAAGCGAAAACGAAGACGTGAAAAATATAATAATCTCAGCAATAGGAGAAAAGCGCGATCTTATCCGCAGACCGCAGTGGCGTTCGCCTAGATCCGGCAGAATAGTCCGAGAGGACCCGTTGCGATCTTCCAAAAGGGAACCTCCTCCGAATCCGCAAACCTCCACACACATTTCCGTTCATCCCTTTGCCCACTCCCAGCCGTCTCCACTCTCCAGCAGTCCTCTTCTTGTTGCCTCTCGCTCTCTCTTTCTCCCGCTTTAGGTTTGCCTGTGCTGGGTACAGAGGAGAAGGGGCTTGGTGCCAAGAAACTGACATTTCGATTTGGGGAGCGGCTCAATTCGTCGCTGTGGTAAGAAATGCTTCCACTCCTCCTTGATCCGTATGTTCATTGACCCGTTCGACAGTGCTCTTGGCCGTCGGTTCTTGACTTCGTAGGTTCGAAAAAGGCTAGTTTTGTTCTCGAATTAGGAAAGAGCGATATTTGGGGCTAGATTCTGATTGATTTGGAGGTCTTACGCGATCTATTGTTCTTGGAGGAAATTGGGGAGCCTATGAATTATGGACAAGAAGGCAAATGAAACTGCAGACTTCGTTTGTAGACACAGTTATGCTCTAAAGCCACAAAGATTAGTGTCGTAGCAAGACCATATAGTTATTGTCTTTCCTCTAGACCTCAAAATTCCCAATAAAGCGGTGCATGCCTGCTTGCTGATCTAACCGATGCCTCACATGATGCCTGTTATGTTTAAATCGTGGTCTCACCATTTTTAGGCAGCATCAGGTCCTGTCCCCTCAGCAAATTAATCTTCAAGCTATAACACATGGGAGAATTTTTTTCCCCCAATAATTTCATTGCCTTCTTGCTGTATGAGTTTTGTCACCATATCCTGATATCCATGCATGATGGTATTATCTTGGGCAACAGTCGTTCTTCTGTAGGAGATTATAAGAGAACTTACAGTAGATTGGATTTTGGATGTATAGAATATATTAGTTGTACGTTTCAAAAAATGTATATATTACTTGTATTAAAGGTAATGTTAGTTGCATTTGACATGCTATTGCCAAATAGGATGATCATGCATAGTTCATGGTTCCTCTTGTTCTGATTAACTTGCCTTATCTGTATCACTATGTTGTAGACTTGTAGTAGGACATATCTCACCAAACAGGCGTTCAAGTTTCAGTATGAGCCAGGTCAGCTGGCATGATGACATGTCCTGATTGGCATGTCAGGCATTGCAGGTAGATACATTACATTAGCGAAGGTGGTATGACGATGTAGTTGTATGCTAATATCCGTGACTGGTGAGAGGGAAATGATTTGTTCAAGTATTGTTTGCATCATGCTGTGGTCCTCCAATCTGTCCTTTTGTGTTATATTGATAAGAGAGTGTGGTCCATTTTCTTAAATGATGGTTGGATTGGATGTTGTGGTCCTCAAGGTAGATGTGGTTCATCATGGAACTTTGGGGAGCTCATCATGGATCTAGGGTGTAACATTAGTATTAAATTTTCTATCTTTGTGTGCTTTGTCTGTACGCCCTGGAGCAAAATATTATGTTTACATGCCTCTAGGTCGTTCATGTTTTGCCTTTAGCAAAATATTATACTGTAGCAACTGCATACCCAACGAAGCTTTTGTCCTGCTGTGCTCTTGTTTGTTTTTCGAAATAGATCTTTATTGTGGGTGCTCTATTATAATTAATTCTTGCGTGTTAATTATTCATCCACAGTTAGTTAAAGCAAATCAAGAGCGAATATTGTGTATCAGCTCAGGCCAGGTCATGATAGCTGCAAATAAGTAGTAGTTAGTTACAAAATTTTTTCCTTCAACTTTATCAATTGACCTGGATAACTGCTTGGCGAGGATTATGCTACATTCCGTGCCTCCCACAAAGCAAATTTGACTTTATCCTCCTTCATTTGGATGCCACATCCGCTATCATTTTGCAGGAAGGGAGTTAAAGAGTTCACCTCTTGACACCTTGTTTGTTAAATGGGATTTTGACCCAGGCTCTGTAGTGTTTCCTAACCGTTCGCCCGGAGATGTCGGATGAAAGATCTTTAGCTACTTGGATCAATTTGCCAGTGTGTTTAGATACAATGTACTGGCAGCTGAGGCCTAGCATGACGGGAGTGAATTTAGGTTGAGGGAGCAGGAAAGAGTTTGTTATTTACTATTGTCCCCAATACCTCCCCCTATCCCCATAAAACTGTCATATTAGGGATAACTGTGCTTTTTCTTGCTCTAGCAGTTCCCCAAGACCTCTCCCTTTTTTTGGTGGTCACCAATATTTCTTTCATCTCCCCTCAAATAAAGGGGGAGTTATATCTCCCCCAATAGCACGGGGACGACCCCAACTACCACTTTTCAACCATCTTTTCTTCTACACTCCTGTGGGACTCACCTTTCATATGGGTATTGGGGGAGATATATTGGGGAACTGCTGCAGCAACTCCCCCAATATTCACAAAAATAATATTGGGCTACCCCAATACATATATATTGGGGATAGATTATTGGGGAACTGGTGGAGATGCTCTAAAGCTCCATAGATAATAGGGCCATGCCAGGTTTAGCAAGGTCTTGAACTTCATATATCCCTTTTCTACTCGACCCAGAATACTGATAGAGTCAGATTGAATCATTTTATCGATGTTTCCTTTGGATTTATTGTTATAGGCAGTCTTTGAGATTGCCTCTGTGCTGTGAACACTTGAATGTAGCTAACATCAGTTTTGTCCTTGAGTGTATCTTGGCAAGCAATTTTTATTTTTCAGATGGTTTCAAAATATTCAAATGGTGTATTTTTGTTGTCATGATGGTCCATCAATTGAGTGACAATATTTTTATGTTTAAGGAAACAAAAGTGTGTGCTAGAATGTTCGTATGTTCTTATCAGAGTTTGTGCCCATGTAATGCACACACATATGTAGGTGATATTTTTCTATCCCCATGGGTCGAGTTTTTTGTTTATATGTAGGCAGTATTTTGTTGGCTGTAAAGGTCTAACTATTAGTATTTTTGGTGTCTCTTTGCAGAAATCATGGTTCTAAAGTCGTACACAAATCTGCTAGATATGTGTTGTGAAGATGTGTTCCAACAACCTTTAAGATCTCTTCCTCGTGTGGTGACCTCTCCTGGCATCATATCTGACCCTGATTGGGAAAGTAGTAATGATGGCAACTCGGTTGGTTCTACGCCTATTTTTTCTAAGAGAAAAATTATTGTTGCAAATTTCCTTCCTATGATCTGTGCAAAAAACGAAGCTACCGGAGAATGGTCCTTTGCCATGGATGATAATCAACTTCTTGTTCAACTTAAAGATGGTTTTCCAATTGATAATGAAGTTATTTATGTGGGTAGCTTGAATGTTCAAGTTGATCCTAGTGAGCAAGATCGAGTTTCTCAGAAGCTCTTCAAGGAACACAGATGCATACCTACCTTTCTCCCAGCTGACCTCCAGCAGCAATTCTATCACATATTCTGCAAACAGCACCTATGGCCACTTTTCCATTATATGCTTCCTGTTTGTCATGACAAAGGTGAGCTCTTTGATCGCTCCCTTTTTCAAGCCTATGTGCGGGCCAACAAAATTTTTGCTGACAAAGTTGTGGAGGCAGTCAATTCGGATGATGATTGTGTGTGGGTACATGATTATCACCTCATGCTTATCCCAACCTTTTTAAGAAAGAAACTGCACCGGATCAAAGTTGGTTTCTTCCTCCACAGCCCATTTCCCTCGTCTGAGATCTATAGGACACTGCCAGTGCGGGATGAAATTCTAAAATCACTTCTTAATGCTGACCTCATTGGCTTTCAAACTTTCAACTATGCCCGCCACTTCCTTTCATGTTGCAGCAGGCTGTTAGGCCTTAATTATGAGTCAAAACGTGGCCACATAGGTATAGAGTACTTCGGCCGAACAGTGAGCCTCAAGATTCTTGCTGCAGGTGTACATGTTGGCCGGCTTGAGTCCACATTGAAGTTGCCTGCTACAATTAACAAAGTTCAAGAAATTGAGAGTAGATATAGTGGCAAGATGGTAATCTTAGGTGTAGATGACATGGACATCTTTAAAGGTATCAGTCTAAAATTGCTTGGCTTGGAGCTTCTTCTGGAAAGAACACCTAAGCTTCGAGGGAAGGTTGTCCTTGTACAGATTGTTAATCCTGCAAGAAGCATCAGAAAAGACGTCGAGGAAGCGAAATACGAAGCTGTATCCGTAGCCCAAAGGATAAATGATAAATATGGTTCTGCTAATTACAAGCCTGTTGTCCTCATTGACTATTCAATACCTTTCTATGAAAAGATTGCATTTTATGCTGCATCTGACTGTTGTATCGTAAATGCTGTGAGGGATGGCATGAATTTGATACCGTATGAGTACACTGTATGCAGGCAGGGAAATGAGGAGATTGATAAGCTCAGAGGTGTTAATAAGAGCTCATCTCACACAAGCACACTTATTGTGTCTGAATTTGTGGGTTGCTCTCCATCTCTTAGTGGAGCTTTCAGGGTAAATCCTTGGAGTATGGAAGATGTGGCTGATGCATTATACAGTGCAACAGATCTGACACAGTATGAGAAGAATCTGCGCCATGAAAAGCACTATCGCTATGTCAGGTCTCACGATGTTGCTTACTGGGCACGCAGCTTTGACCAGGATCTGGAGAGAGCATGCAGAGAGCAATATAGCCAAAGATGTTGGACAACTGGGTTTGGTTTAAATTTTAGAGTTATTGCTCTTTCACCTGGGTTTAGAAGACTGTCTCTAGAACACCTAACCTCGTCTTATAAGAAGGCTAACAGGAGGATGATATTTCTGGACTATGATGGGACCCTTGTGCCGCAGACATCGCACAACAAATCTCCAAGTGCCGAACTTATTTCTATCCTTAACAGCCTGTGCAATGATATGAAGAACACTGTATTTATAGTCAGCGGACGAGGAAGAGATTCCCTAAGTGAGTGGTTTGTTTCATGCGAGAACCTTGGTATTGCTGCTGAACATGGTTACTTTATCAGGTAAAGAATCTTTTGTTGATACACAATTATGTGATTTCCTTTCACCCATGTTTGATTAACCATGTTTTTTCTCGCAGATGGAACAAAGCAGCTGAATGGGAGACAAGTTTGTCAGGTCTTCATTCTGAATGGAAACTCATTGCGGAGCCTATCATGCATTTATATATGGAAACAACTGATGGGTCTTTCATAGAGCAAAAAGAGAGCGCTCTGGTATGGCACTATCAGAATACAGATCATGACTTTGGCTCGTGCCAGGCAAAGGAGCTAGTGGGTCATCTGGAGCGAGTCCTATCAAATGAACCTGTTGTCGTGAGGCGTGGCCATCAGATTGTAGAAGTTAAACCTCAGGTTTGTACAGTATCTGATATTTCACTACTTTTTGTTGCATTTTATCATCTAGATGTTTGTTGAGGCTTCAAATGTATGTATTCATGGACACAGGGAGTTAACAAGGGGATTTCTGTGGACAAGATCATTCGGACCTTGGTCAGTAAAGGGGATGTACCGGATCTTTTGATGTGCATCGGAAACGATCGATCGGATGAGGACATGTTTGAGAGCATCAATAAAGCTACCTCTCTTTCTGAGCCTGCCATTCCAGAAGTATTTGCCTGTTCCGTTGGCCCGAAGGCCAGCAAAGCAAACTACTATGTCGATGGCTGCAGCGAAGTAATCAGATTATTGAAGGGTGTCACAGACATTTCACCCCAAAAGGATACTGTCAGCCATAGCCATGCGGTCTTCAAGGATACACTCGAGGTTGTCAGCTGATCCACACAATCAGTCAGCTCAAAACTACCTACATCCAAGTGTGTCCAGCCTGTCAATCTCAAATCTCCAATGCATGCAAGCTACTCATCTCTCAAAAAACATATCTGGCACGTGGAGCTCTAAATTGGACGAGAACAAGTATTGCCATTGTTGACACAAAGACATCAGTGATCACAAATTGCAAGATCCCGCAAATGGCATCACCATTGATGATGCAATGACAACAGAAATCACAAACCGCAAGTTCCCAATTTGTAGTTTAGAATACTAGTGGGATGCCATACATTTTGTAGGCGGTTGATCTGATGGTGAAAGGATTTCCTGCTAGTGCCCCAACTTACAGCAGCTGGGAGAGCCCTGGACCTGTGTACAGCTCGTGGGTTGCACCTACCTTCAGAATGATTTGCAATTCATCCCATCTGACGCCTGTGCTGCACTGAGCACTATTACACTATTTCTTTGTACAAAACAGGTGTGATTAGGTGATTAGCGCTGTATCTTTAGGTTGTAATTCCCACGTACCATTGAGAAAAACATGGTCTGATTGATTTGAGGAATGTGTAGTCCTACTCATTTCTCTTTTTTTTTTGTTTGGTTTGTGGAATATAATAGGTTGATGTATTATCACCTCATTCTTCACAAGCTAGTAATAATTAGTACTAATATGACAAATGGAGTTGTTCTGCTAAATTTGAGAAATGGATTCATGATCTAGGGTGGAGTGATTTCTCAAACTAGACACACCCTTAATGGCTGTGATGGTGAAGCGCCAAGTGCACATGACCCCTTGTATGATGGGGGAAAGGGGTGATCACTTGCTTCTGTGACCAACTGTATGGCTGTACTCCGCGGAGTGTGAAGTGTAATTGTGTAAACTACTGGTTGGCAGAAGTGGGTGCTGCTTATGTATCCAGGTTCTTTTTGCATAAATGCACCGCTAGGGAGATTTTTTTTAATCTTTTTTAAATAGTATTTTATTTTTAACCCATCTTAAAAAAACTAACTCTTTTTTTTTGCGGAACAAAAAAAAACTAACTCCTTTGACTGCTCTCCGGAGCTTGGCATGACAAAAACGCACTGTTGTGCTACGACTGTCTTCAATAACCGTGACCCAAAATACAAGACGCATCCGTCCTTTGATAGCGCTAAATGCAAAGGGTTTAATATCTATTTTTGGTATTCTCCAAGATCCAAAAGACAACCCTTTCAGCAAATGGGTCTCCAGGAGAGAGTATGCCTCTCCTATCACCTAAAATTGGTCTTTCATATAAATACTCTGTTGGAGGCTATAGGTATTATGTTGGAAACCTATTTTGGGTTGGATTCCGCAATGGGTCTCCTGTTGGAGATAGCCTAAGCCAGCATGCCTGCCAGCGTTGTTGTCAAACCCACGATGGCTGCCTGCTTGGCAATGCTACCTTTCGCGCAACCCTATTGGTGCAGCAGTGTCGGGTATCAGGATTCGGGATATCCGGAAGAAGGAAGCTGATGGCCGCGAACGCTAACTCCCTTGGATGGTCAAGAGCGTGTCTTGGCCTCGCCCGGCCCCGAGGGGACGGGTTCTGTCTCGTCCGACCTCGAGGGCGCGGGATCTGGGTCACCCGACCTCGAGGGCGCGGGCTCCGTCTCACCCGACCCCTCGAGCGAGAGCCCCGTCACGTTCGACCACTGAGGGCGCGGGATCCGCCTCGCTCGACCCCTCGGGCGAGGGCTCCGCCTCGCTCGACCCCGAAGGCGCGGGATCCGCCTTGCCCGATCCCGAGAGCGCGGGCTCCGCCTCGCTCGACCCCTCGTGCGAGGGCTCCGCCTCGTCCGACCCCGAGGACGTGGGCTTCTCCTCGCCCGACCCCTCGAGAGGGGATTCCGCCTCGCCCGACGGGAGTCCGCACCGCCCCCAACCACTACAAGTCTAAGAGTACGAATCCAGGGTCAAACTTCTGACGCCAGAATGGGAGCGGACGTGTCTTGACGTGACCCGTGGCCACGACGGGCCGTACCTGAAGACTCACGTCACCAACAGTGTCGGGCGTGCCGATGCTATGCTACCTAATCCCTGTATGGCTTTCGACGAGGATATCTGCTCACCATGCTGCTTGCCAGGACAGAATGGAGTGCCATGACCAGCTGACGACGCCCATGTACAGCGCCAGTGATGAACAGGGCCACGACGTGAAGCCATCCCCGTCATCATCTACAGGACTGACGGGACCCACGTAAAGGGGATGATGGGCGCCACGACCCCGGAGGCCTTCTTCCTCCTCGCTTTTCTCTCTCTCTCTCACTCTCTCTTTCTCTCGTGTAACTTGCGCCTTCCCCTTCATCTATAAAAGGGGAAGCTGGACGTCCCATGAAGGGCAGAGCAAAAAACACGCTAAGACACTCAGACGCCTACACTCCTGCACACAACGGCTCAACGCTGAAAGGAACTGAGTTCAACTAGACTCAACTCCATTCGATCCTTCCATCAGAGACTTGAGACCTTCTCCATCTCTCGCCCGTTTGTAACCTCTACTACAAACAATGCTGGTAACATGAGCAGCCTCAAACTGGACGTAGGAATATTTCGTCCGAACCAGTATAAACCCTTGTGTCCTCCAAGCACAGCCATAAGGGTCACACGCGCAAATCACAAAATTTACTAGCCGATGATCCGAAACACCGATAGTTGGCACACCAGGTAGGGGCCTTTTGTACATCTCATCGTCCACAACAGGCCATGGATGGCTAGCCACAGCGTGAGTTGGGTCCCGGGCGCGCACGTGCGCTTCAGGAGCCTGGATTTCTTCGTCACCACGGAGGGAGAGCTGGCGTGGGCTCTCGCCCTCATCCAACCTCTTTGCTCCACTGGCCTCGACACAACCATCGAGGCCCTCGAGGAGCTGCAGCTACATGTCTCGAGGCCCATGTCCCCGGGAGCGACCAGCTCCTCGGCTTCGACTACGAGAGGCTGGAGCGCCAGCTCGGTGCCTTCCTGGGACCCCAACCGTCCTGGGAGGACCTACGCCGCCTCACCTTCTAGTTCACCAACGTCATGACACAGCTTACTAGAGGAGAACCACTCTCCTCGGAATATCTCACCTAGGATGTCCCGACAGCGTTCTCGTTCGGTCTGCGCAACGCCGCAAGGACCATTAGTCACCTCACGGCACAGTGCACGCACCCGTTTCCCATGGATAATGAATTCATGGGTATGACGGACTACGTCGTGGAATCTTTCCACGACCTTCTCGTGGGAGACTCAGAGTCGACCTCTGACTCTGACTCCAGCAGGGGAAGCCATCAACCCTTGTGAGAATGCTTCATGGCTGACACCCCCGAGGGGCATGTTGAAAGCGTCCACGAGGGAGGGGCTGCTCCTGTGAATGACCCCGACAACGATGTTGAGGGAGATGTAGGGGCCCCGCCTCGCCTGCGAGTAGAGCAGCTGAGGGCGCGACACAAGGAGATCGAGGATGCATGACTCCAGCTAGAGTAGGAGCGTGAGAAGCTCGAGCATGAGATCGAACGCCATGGAGACGGTGGCTGTGCACACGCCATCGCTCGCGACACAAATCGGAGGATCATCCAAGACGACGGAGGCCTCCTGCACTTCACCTGGGCAAGCCAGAACATAGCTGCCACGGTAGCCTTGCTCCGAGGGCACCTAGAGCCCACGACACCTGAAGACCGTTGGGCCCATCGCGAGATCCACACGCTACTCGAGTGCGCAGCGGTGCAGCAGGCGGAAAGCTCGCTGTCTCGGCGATGCGAGCTCGATGCCAGTTAGCGCGTGTCTTTAGGACGACATGGCCAGGACGTATCCGTCCACCAGGCGCCACGCGACGGTGGGGGCTCGCCAAGGTCCTGGTGCATGAGCGTCTCGGCCCCAACCGTGACACACGTAACTCCCTGGACGCCCGTAGGCGCGGACGGGGGGACAAGAGAGAGGGGGCTGGCCGCGGCTACCATCCTCATCGTGACGAATGCTATGATAGCAGTGAAGACTAGAGCTCGAGCCCCGACCTGCTGGGGCCCTAGGCTTTCGGCGGGCACATCCTCAACGCGGCTTTCCCACTGCGGTATCGACCGCCGACCAATGTCCTGAAGTACTCCGAGGAAACAAAACCTAGCCTGTGGCTCGAGGACTACCGGCTTGCTTATCAAGCCGGCGGCGCGGATAGTGATTACTTCATTATCCATAACCTCCCCTTGTTCCTAGCCAATTCGGCGCGAACATGGCTGGAGCACCTTCGACCCAACCGAATTCAAAGTTAGGCGGACTTAAGGGTGATCTTTGTGGGAAACTTCCAGGGCACCTACACATGCCCTGGGAACCCCTAGGATCTAAAAAATTGCTAACAGAAGTCTGGAGAGACTCTTCGCGAGTATATCCGATGCTTCTCCAGGCAATGCAATGAGTTGCCTGATGTCGCCGACGCCGATGTCTTCAGAGCCTTCCTATCCGGGACCACCTGCGAGTCTCTAGTCCACAAACTAGGACACAAGGGCCCCCGGACCACCAAGGAGCTCCTCGACATCTCGACCAGCCATGTCTCAGGCGAGGAGGTGGTCGGAGCGATTTTTGACCGCTCCAAGGGCAAAGCAAGGCGGGGACGAGGACACCAGCGAAGGCACCTCCAACTGCCCTAGCAAAAAGAAGAACAAGCAGCGGCATGGGGGCTCACTCATGGCCACTATCGAGCGAAAAGGTGGCCGGGCGCCTGCCAAGAATGCTCCCGACCACTTCGAGAAGCTGCTCGAGGGGCCATGCCCAAACCACGCCTTCCCCATTAAGCATCTATACAAGGACTGCGCTCTCATGAAGCGGTTCCTGCCCGCTGGCTCCGACAAGGGGAACCAAAGAAAGAAGCCTGAGCAGGTGGTGAACGACGTCAAGGGGAAGGATGGCGGCTTTCTGACCCTAGATGGCTACCTCATGATCTTCGGTGGGACAATGGCCTACGACTCCAAACATCGCCAGAAGATCACGCGTCGTGAGGTCTATGCTGCTGAGCTAGCCGCGCCATCTTTTCTTCGATGGTCGGAGTCCGCCATCACCTTCGATTGATCCAACCACCCAGAAAGCGTCCCGTAGCCGGGAAGGTATCTGCTCATGGTCGACCCGATCATCGACACGAAGTGGTTCACCAAGATACTGATGGATGGAGGCAACAACCTCAACATCATGTATGCGGAGACGCTTGATGCCATGGGCATCGACCGGTTGCACATCCGATCGATCGAGGCACCTTTCCATGGCATCGTGCTAGAGAAACAGGCCATGATAGTCGGGCAGATCGACCTGCCCATCACCTTCGGGGATCCGACCAACTATAGGATGGAGACCCTCACCTTTGAGGTGGTTAGGTTCCATGAAACCTCCCATGCCGTCCTAGGACGACCATGCTACGTGAAGTTTATGGCCATCCCCAACTACACCTACTTGAAGCTTAAGATGCCA